GAATGACTCAAATTGTAACATGAAACTACATTTGTTTATTCTAAGTAGCTTTCATCTCATAACAGCATACATCTATTTATAGTTGAATTTTATTGCCCTTTAAACTGTCTAACTAATATTTGCGTCATTGTAAGTTGTAAATCACTTGGGGAACACGAGACTCATGTTACTCTATCAAATTCCATTATCCACGAGCTACTCCAAGCTGCTCGCATGCATGCCTCACAAAAAGTTATTATATTATTTATTTTACCTAATAATATTTTTATTTTTACATTTTAGTTACTTTTATAATAATAAATAAATAATACATTAAAAACAAGAAATAAAGTACTTAACTGGACCTTCTGTTTTTTGCTGTCGACTGTTGATGACACTTAACCCTACTTTTTTTTTTATACTAATGGTAGTAGTGCACTAAATTTTTTATTTAGTTAAATAATGCACCAAAGAACATAGTATAATAATATGCAAAAAATCAGACAATGTTCTATAACTATCATAATTTTTCTGGCTTTCTAACTATGCAACAAGAGCTGTTACAAACTCATCCTGGCTTATCAATATGTTTCTCATGAGAAAGAAGCTTGTACTAAAGAGAAATTGGCAATTCCCTGTATAGAAAACAATGTAAAATAATACGTCATTTGATAGATGAAAACTTTGGCTTTCTATTGGTTATAAATAATATAGTATTAAACATAGAAGAGAACTATTAATGAATCGTGAAAGAGAGGATGTGACAGGTGGGTGTGGCAAGAGGGGTTTATTTGATGGCTCTGTAACCAAACAAGATTGAAGGCTAAAAAAATTATGGTTTATCTGAGAGATGATGATTTTATAGAGGGTAATTTATGTTAATTTTGCACTTCTTGGAGTAATGAATAAATTGGAAAAGAGGGGATGTCTAGAGAAAAAACGTCACATTTCTCACACTAGGGTAAATTCATGATTTTTTTAAAATATTGCCTTATAAAAATTAAGAACTTAAAACTTGTATTCTATTAAAAGTATGGATTATTAGCTATGATTTTATGCTGTACTAATTGGTATAACATAAATCAAAAGTAGTTTAATTAGATTTTGAATGAAATGGCAGTAAAGGATGCCTGTGCAGAGAAGATTAAACCAACATATGGAATGATCCTCTGTGAGGATTTGCTACTGTTATTAACAATTACTTATATTTAACATTTATTAAACCAATTATGGAGTGATCTTCTGTGAGAAGTTGATGCTGTTGTTAAGGGTTACTTATTTTACATTTAAGACCTAGTGAACTAACCTACGAAGAGATCCTCTATGAGGAGTGGCAGGTGTCACTTTGGTTACAGCAACTGAAGGAGAAGAGTTGACACTATCTTGAGACAAAGTCTGTGTAACCCGTGAAGGTTTTCCATAATTTTTTGGTGAAGCACCAACAGATGGTGTCTCACCAAGGTAACCATGTTCCAGGTGGAGAGCACAGGTAGGCCCAACACTCATAGATCGAGCAGGAATTGCTATAGGGCTAGAACTACGACTTGAAAGTTTGGGAGATCCAGTGGAAGGCTTTGGGCTAACACTGCGAGAAGCTCGCCTAATAACAGGAGGAGTTGAAGGTGGAGTACGAGGGGGAGTGGCAGCATTCCCATTAGCACGACTTTCTCCTATTGCTTTTACAAGTTCTTTCACAGAGACTCCTTGAAGCTCAGGTGGAACATCTCTTGGCAGTGATGGTGGTGTAATACGGAAGTCACTGCTTGTACGATGAATCACTTCCTCCCTAAGCCACTTCTGTAGAGCTGCAACTCTACCTCCACTACTGAGTGAATCTCTTTCTGACCGATCAGTCTCTGTTTTCTCAGATTCTGCCAAAGTGTTCATTGAAGTGGATGGTGTTGAAACTACCAAGACATTGCATAACCTTCAGTTATACAAACAACTATGAAATAATCTTCATGTAATCATTGTACATATGATTACATGATCAGTTTTAAGAAAAATTGTCACAATAAACAAATATATCATATACACTTGATGTTTTTTGTATATTTTATATTTCTATACAAATGACATTAACATAATTTACACTTTTTACTTTCAACATGTATGCATTACTTACTTACATAAACATCTCCATTTTCAGGTTTAAAAAATAAACAAATTATGATAATAATCAGAAGTTGTAAAAGAATTACACTTGATTCCCTGTTTGGAAAGAAACACTGTTTCTAATTATAGAGAAAGTCTGCATTATGAACTTTCCCAAGTCTTTTATTCTGAACTTGTAACAACCATAACATCTATGAAGTTAAAAACTTGTAAACACTTAACATAACTATAGAATTTAGTAAAATACTCTCTTGCTGCAGACTCGGTTAAACTGGCCAAATTCATAACCCCAAATTGACCTTTATAGATTCCATATTATAAAACTTCTAATGTATTTTGTGTATCTTCACAAAATTTTGCAAGATTTCAGTAATCATTAAGAGTCATTTTAAGACAAAAAATCAGAATCTATAATGAAGCATTTTTCACTAAAAAATTCTCCATGAATATTTGGAGTCAAAGTCTTAACTGCTCCAAGTGCAAAGTGATTTTAATGTTAAGATTATAAACACGTTTCTTCATCTCAAAAACGTACAAGGTTCATTTGCATAATCTCTAAAACTTCCTAAATAAATTTCAAACATTTTTTTCAGTAAAACTTTATATTTTATCTGTTGTTTTCTCTACACTAACTGTATACAAGGTTGGTCAATTTGACAGACTTTATAACCACGAAAAAAAAAATCAAAATAAATCTAAATTACCTTTTTTCTTTCTAGAATGACTTCAAATTGTAACATGAAGGTACATTTGTTTCTCCTAAATAGGTTTAAGCTCGTAACAACATACATCTGTTTATTCTTAAAATTTTATTATTTTATTGCCTTTTGAACCATGTATAACTAATATTCCCACCATTGAACTTGTAAAACACTTAGCAAATATTAGGGGAAATTGAGGATTTTTTAAAAATGTTGCCTTATAAAATTAAATATAGAACTTAAAACTTATATACTATTAAACTTTGGATAATTAGCTATGCTAAGTGTATTCATATACCATGATAATAAAGTACTTTAATTCAATTTTGAATGTAACTCACTAAAATATTGCAACATGCACAGAAAAAGATGCCTGTAGTGAAAGTATTAGTGATAAACCTATATGTTCAAAGATTACACAGAACAATCTAAAACAAAACTGGTTTAGTACACAAAAAGTTAAAGAAAACAAGAAATGCTACAAATCTTAAGATATGAAAAGAGTCAATGTTTTGGTCAAATACCTTTCATATGCAACAAATATGTTTGGCCCTGATGATTGTCAATTGGACAAAATACTGTCCATATTTTCTCTTTCCTTATGCCTATTTCAACATGTCTGCAGATGATACAAATATAAAACAAACAAAGAAAGCCTGCCTACCTGGGGATCCAAACACAAAAGGACTGGCTGAGCCAGAAGATCCCCCTTCATGATCTGAAGTTCCACTACCAAATGTAAACATTCCTGAAAACAAAATTTAGTTAAAGGTATTTAGTGTGAATACAAAGTAAACTGCAAACTAAAATTAGTCATTTTCATATTAAATATTTTAAACTTTGTAAAAAGAAAAAAAATAATACAATTTCACTGAAAAGAAAAAACAATTGTTAAGACTAATTTGCATTAATTTTTCATATCTGGAGGCACAAATCATGACTGGTATAGATGATTTTTAACTCTTACAAATATGTTTCATTACTAAAAGTATATATATGTTACAAAATACAATTTAAATTTTGAAATTATTATTCCAACTTGATAACATCATTTCAAAGAAAACATTTGTTGTAACTCAATATTAAATTAAATCTAAACTTTAAATACTAAAAATAAATATGAAGCCCAATCTATCGTCCTTTCACCAGAGTTCCAGAGTTATAGCAGTTTTGAGGAATTCCACCCTTCATCACAAATCCTGGGCAAGGGTTATTCGAAAAAACAAGACTATGCAGTTAAAAATATTATACATATAAATGTAAGCCTTTTTTTAACATAACGTTTAATGAAAGATGCTATTTAAATCATATGAAAATTTCAGGGCAGCACAATGCTCTGTTAAATTAAAATTTTTGTTCTATAGAAATATTATAACTTCAGATGATGATGTGTCACTCCTAACATTTTTACAATTAAACCACTTAATCATCATTTCCACTAATATCAAGTACATTCTGTGCTATTAAGCAGACTGACATAGATCAATAATCCTGCCATTAAGGATAGATCTTTAATATCAAATGAATTGAACACTGAGATATGTGGATTATGAGAGGCAGTAATTAAGCTGGTTAAAACACTTTTCTGGTGAGTAGAGACCCAGGTTCGAATCATGTCAAGTCCAAAGTTTCATTAAAAAAATAATTTATAATTATGCATAACTATTAATTACATGAAAAAATATTGTAAATGCTTAAATGTAATATCAATAAATATTAGAATATATAAGTAGTGGTTTCTTTACTAAAAACTAACTTCTAGATATATATGAAACTTTCAGTTCAACTTTACAGTGTGTCATCCACAATTTGCTATAACTTATCTACCTAATTTTCAATATTATAAGTTCTCTCATTAGAACAATGGTTTCCAAGACATCTTTTTTGCTTTCTTACTGTCAAATTACTTTATTTGACTTAACAAATTTAAGATATTATAGCTGGACAATTAGTTGCATTTGATAATTGATGGCTCTATTAACTGATTAGTACAGTGTTCCTCAAGCCATGGTACCTCCAAGCAAATAATAAAAAAAGGTTGGTGGCAGATGCTGCCAGACAGGTGCCTTATCTCCAGTCAGCAGTTCAACAAACAAACACACTATAAAAGGTTGGTGACAGGTGCTGCCTTCCTTCCAGTCAGCAGTTCAACAACAACAAAGAACAAAGTGACATGTGCTGCCAGTTACTTGCCTTCCCTCTAGTCAGCAGTTCAAAATTAGAGACAGTTGCAGAAAGCTTCAGTAGCTTTGCCATAACAAAGACAGGGATAGGAACTTTGGTGGAAGTATTTAGATTACTTGGATAGTTTGAATAAATAGAAATCCTAATTTTGATTAGTTGATTATTTTGTGACAATCGATTTAATCACAATTTTGATTAAATGATTGCTGGAATAATAAAACACATTAATAAACAGTAACTCTAATTTTGATTAGTTGAATGTTTTCATGATAATCAATATACTTAGAATTTTAATTGATCAGTAGTTGGAATAATCAATAACAGTAATAATCACAAACACTAATTTTTGATTGATTTTAACCATAATTTCTATCAATCGACTAGATCACATAACACAAAGCAACGTAAATTGCTACTTGTAGGCAATCAATTAAATCATTCAGCTCTAAAAGATACACTATATAAATTTTCCAAATTAACCTTCTAAGGACTGGGTTGTCTTCAAAGAGCATTTCTTTATGATATAAGACAAATATTCCATAGGAAAAATTTAATTGACAACCTTATATGAGACAGTTTCATCAATTAGAAACTAAGTAAATTAGCTGAATATTTTTACACTTTTAGTGAAAAATTAATCATCAGCATTGTTATCTAACAAAAAAAGTTAATCCACTTCAACTTGAAAATGAAAATGTGCAAATAGCTTTTGCAAAAAACAGAAATGCAAATAATTTTATAGATTACTGTTTTAACAAAAGTACTGATTTTTACATAAGATAAAAAGAACTTGCTGATAATGTCATGTCATTAAGAAACATAAAAATGTATATGAATTCTGTTCATGAAAGTAGCCTGTATATTAAATCACATATTTTATCATATAAACTTAACAGAATTAAACAAAGCTGCATATTATGATCATCACCTGCAGGGTTGAGGCCTCCAAAAACAGGTGAATGGGATGCTACACTAGCAAAGTCGTATCCCTTCCTGTAGCTCTGTGATGCCCCAAATGGAGATAGTCCTGGAGCCCCAGAGGAAAGTACAGGTTCCACAGGTAGGCCAAATGGGTTTGGTTTGTCTCTTTCCTCATCACTGTCACCAGCTTGCATGACCTCTGTTTCATGCTGTAAGTAGATCATTTCTGTACGACTCTGGGCTAGTGACCATGCTTCACCATCAATGTTGAAACAGTACCTCTGCATGCTGTCTCTGTCCAACTTTACCCAACAGCCATCTGTGTTTGAAACCTGCAATACACAACTTAATATCCTCACTGTCAACACTAATTTTAACTAAAACTTAAATCTCCTCAAAAAACCAGTTTTTTTAGGTTTTATTAGGAATAAAGCACAAACATAAAATTTCATTCTATAAATATTTAAAAATCAGTTATCCAAAAGAGGTTAAGTTAAAAGGAACCTTTAGTTAAACAACAATAATGGAAAGTTTTTTTTTCTAACTGACATGGACCTGATATTGTATTAAATTTGATTACTCAGCCACAAAACCATCCCATATTTGAACATGTTTCTCTTGCAGTGACAAACCATTAACATTTTTATCCATTCAAGCATATTTTTGTCACACACCTTATTTCTTTATACTCAGAAATAATTTTTTTACATAATACAAAAACTACATAAATATAGCCAATATACTGTAACAAAATATTAAATAAAATGTTGAATATTAGATACAAATGCTAAGCCAAAAATCTTATTTGATAATTAGATATACATGTATATATAGATATTTATACATACACACATTAAACTGTGTATTAATAAAATCATAAGATTTTACTAATCCTGAACAAGATGTTTAGCTTTATTTTTAAGATCAAGAAAGCTTCACAATGTTTTCTTTTCCTTCTTTAAAATGATGTTTTAATACACAAAAATAAAAATTTAAATTCATAACCAAAAAATTTAGTTTTTGTCTTGCTTTTTAGACATACCTCACATTTCAATTTACACATAATAGTGAAAGTAACAACACAATCTAACTTAATCAAAATTTTGAATATCATATACTCTAAAATATCCTTATTTTATTTAAATGTTAGGCAAGATTGGTACCTATCTGATAAACCACTAAGGTTAGAAAACAAAGTAACCTACCAAATTAAACATCAGCTAGTTGGTAATTTAAAACTTTTTCAATTCTACTTTAAAAGCATTTTAAGCATACAAAAACTTCACAACAAGTACACAAATTACTAAGAATTACAAAAAAATAAAACCTTCAAATAGCAATGCATTGAATAATTCTTAAAATATTTACCATGAAAAACCTTTGTGCACTTAGTAATGCAAGTTGACAAAATACAATTTGAAAGATCAGTTGAGTTGTCTACAGCATGACAAAATACAACGTGAAAGGTAAATTCGCTTTTACACAGCTTCAAAACAAATATTGCACCTAACTTTACGTCACATTCAAAGAGTATTGTTTATCTCTTCAGTTGTTTTGTATCAAATAGTAAAAAATTTTCAGAGAAAAATTATGAAAATCAAAATTGCCACATTAAGATCATTTTAATATAAGGTTAGTTTAAGAATCACCAATCTTGTAATTGGGATAATCATAAAATACTCACATCTTCCATAACAGTGACAGTATTTCCCAGTACCAGCATACCCACAGGAGGTGCCTTTAAACTTGGACGGCTACGAACATTATGGCCAGAGGCCCCACATTTAACAACATAATAAACACCTGAACCTAAACCATTGAAATAAAAAACATATTTTATAAGTATCTCTATAGAATCAAGATAATATTTGTAACATTTAGGAACTAAAATTTAATTTTTTGCCAGGAATTTATTTGACAGCAGAAACTTGTAAACAGTACATAAGAGTAAGTTTAGTAATCCAGTACAGGATAGTTTTATATTGATCTTGAAAGAGAAAAACTTTTATATATGAATTCTGATGTTTCAAAGTTTTAATAAATAAGAATTAAATGAATCCATCAAACTATCCAAAACAATGTTACTCTTACAACTTATTTCTTATTAGAATAAACCAATTTTGCTTGTTACCACATCCCAACAACACAAGTAGCTTAACTAGTTAAAAACATATGCTTAATAAGCAGAGTCACAGGTTAGAATCCTGTGTGGTTTCAGTTCTTAACTTCTTCACAAAACACTTCTAAATTGATTGGATGATGAGGCACATTTAAAATATCTATAGTGAAGATATACAAGATAAACAGTAGGAAAACAACACTGGCAAAATCAAAATTTAAAAAAGAAAAAATCATTTTCCACAGACCACAACTTACTGGATAATTGGCACCTCCAGAAGAAGAACTGCTGAGAGTATGTAACAGGAAATATTTAATGTTACAAATACTGAATTTTATAGAAAACACATTTTCTTAGCTGATATTAGGGAGAACATTACCTTTGGTGTGAGGTAACTTGTTTTCAGGAGGTTTCTTTACTGGTGAATTTGATTCCTTAAAAAACTCTGCAAGCACAGACTTGGGTTCCTGAAAGGTTAAGAAATGTAAATACAGACTATTAACACCATGAAGACTAATAAAGAGAACTCTAATGCTGTTGAAATATTCTCATATTTTTTAGGAGAAAGGAAAAATAGAAATAACAATTGTCTTCGTGAACAAGAACCAAAGAAATCACGTAAATGTGAAAAGTAATTCCCCCCCCCCCAAATTAAGATGTTACAACATGTAAGAGCTACATGGAAAACAATATGATAGAAAGATAATAATGACACAGTGAACAATTAAGAGATAAAGATAAAAAGATACTGCCAATAGATGGTAAAGATAGCTCTAGGATAAAAAATTACAGATGAAAGATATTTTGCAAAGATATGCTGAAATACACAGAAAAAACTGAAAAACACTATGAATATAATAAACTAAGAATTATATGTGAAGAAGATTCCTGAACATTCTGATAAAATAGATGTCATGAATGGGTAGAAATGAACCAAGAAGAGATGACAGTAAAACAAACTTATATTAGGAAGAGACAAATAACTGCAGCTATACAGAAAAAAGCTAAAAAAAGGAAGATACATATATATATGGAAAATATTTATTGGACAGAGAAAATTGGAAGAAAAAAAAGCAAAGATCAAAATATAAATTAATATTACAGTGTAAAATTAATTTGATGGAAAGAAAGAAAAATTAAAACATTTTTCCACTATTTATACACTTTACAGACATATCCACACAGAATATATAGCAGCTTTTACCTCTATCAAAGCACAGTTTGATCTTCTTGCATAAATATTTAAAAAGAGCATTCATAAACACATTTTTATTTGTTAAGGTTCCAACTTTCATACATCATAGATATACAACAGGTAAAAACAAAGAAATACTAACTTCTACTGGATATAACAATGTCTTGCCCAAGTGTTGATTAAACTGTAAACACCAGCCTTCAACATAACCATTGTGACAGTACTTCTTAATGGTTTCAGGGCTGAGCCTAACCCACACTCCATCATCATTGTGTAGCTAAACACAAATCAACATTCAATATAGTTAATCATAATACCCTGTTGTACAAACATAAATATTAATGAACAATTGTAAGTGCAATTATTTATAATTCGCTCTGTATTTTAACTTTAAACTATATGATTGTTCAATCACATTTCTTTTTGTGTCAGACTAGGTTACTGACTGGTTGATCAATGCTAGAAAGTGTTGAAATTAATGGTGTAAAATATACCAGAATAATGGAAGTTAAACAACCAATTAGCAGATCCTGTATATATATAAGCTAAATGATTCACTTCAATATAACCCACACAATATTACAATATCTTGCACAGACATATTGGAAGTGTTTGCAGTTGGTATATTCTAAAAGTTCAAACTACTGGCAAATTAAAAACTTTTGAGTGGTTGTAAGGCAGACTAACTTTACAAAATTGTATTATGCTAATGAATGCAATTGTATGTTAAACATTTTCTACATGTAACAAAGTGGGAAGATATTAAGTTATACAACATTCCTGAGCATATGCTATCAGTATTATGCAAAACAAAACAAGTTTAATATTTTTCAAACTAACTTTTCTGAAATCTGATATATGTGTATAAAACTGGTCATTGGTAGTTTGTGACAGTCTTGTACATTTCATAAATATACTGTAGCACGTTCCACATGAAGATATATCGCAATTAACTTGAGACTTTTTTTTTATCTTCTTCAACTGAAACAATATATACACAGACGTTCTTATTCTTATTAAAAAAAAAGAAAATTCAGCTGAAGAATTCTTTTTACAAAAAAGGAAGTAAAAAAAACTAAAATATTCACCCAAAAAAATTCAATTAGAAGCATAAAATACAATTAATACTATTTCACAATAACAATGCACAAACTATAAAAATAAAAGCTGTTGCCTAGTTTTAATTTGTGACAACTTCTTCGTAAAGATTTTTAAAATTTATTTCCATTTTTTTGTTACCTTGCTTTTACTTTTGATGCACGGATTTCCTTACTGATTCTTTGTCACTTCTTACTTAGACTTATCCTTTTGCATTGAGAAATATTAAAGAAAAAAACAAATCAAAGGATATAATTTGTCTTGGAAAGTAACGTTTTTACTTGTTTCCTCAAGTTGCTAAGTTACTAGGACTATTCACCACATTACACATCTTGTTTTTATTGTTAGCTTTCAGCCCTCTAGCACACTGTTAATGAGAATAGTCCTATAATTCAGATAAACTTTCATTAATTTATGTTATCATTCCTATTAATACAATACCTAATCCATCATTGTAAATTTCCAACTTGTTATACAAACAACTTTTTCCAAGTAAGTAACTTCTTAACTAAGCAAGAAAACAGGATTCTACTCATGAAACATAACGAAATGTTAATGAAATTAAATATCTAACACTGTAAAAATTACTGTTCAATGGGTTATTGTAACAAAATAACCTTGTTCACACATCTTGTTCAGTTACAAGTGAAAAGACATTACACTTTCTTTATTACAACAAATTTTTTAGGTAGGTAACACAATACATTGTCCATGAAAAGCCACTATTTAACAAGCTTTGAGAATCCAAAACATGTTGTCTTGGCCAGTGCATTTTTTAATCAATAGTTGTGAAAATACAAGTCTAATGAGTTTTATTTGAACAACATCCAGATACAACATAACTGTTGAGAAAGTTATAAACAGTACCTCATCTATAAAGGTTATTGTGCTATTCACTTGTATGATGCCAATTTGTTCACTCTGTAATGATGGGTGACTTCGAATTCTAAGTCCTGCACTATACTGGGCCATGAACTTGCGTAACTGCAAAAAATTGTTACAAATTGTCAATAATTATTTCCTTTTTGATGCAAGGTAATTACAAATAAGTCACACATGAATGACTTATAATAAATAATTATTTATTATAATTATAATAAATAATTATTATAATTATGTTAATAAACACAAAACATACATTCACATTTTAGTAGGAACAAAAAGAAACTATTTAAAACTTAAAAAAAATTCATGATCATTACTCATACCTACTTATATTTTGATTCATTTCTCAATTAAATGAAGCTTGTGCTTAAATGTTCAAAACTTGATCACAGAATGAAGAAAATCAAACACACCAGTTGAAAACTGCCCTGAATAACGCAATAGGTTTCCTTAAGATCAACATATGTATCTTATTACGGCATAATTTTATTGTTTATTTTATTCTAAAAAAATCATCATGAAAGTAAGATAATGGATGAGCTATCAATACAACAGCAGTAAATTTATGCTTTAGGCTTCCTGAGGAAGCTTACCAGGATGAAAACTATCAAAATCACAGCTCAAGAATACACTAGTCAACTTCAACATTAACAAGGAATTTCTACACTTCACATTTTTTGCACAATAAGATCACAAACAAAATAAAACAAGAACACAAATTAAATCCTTTGTGCAGGAACAAACATTCTTCCCCAAACATACACATGCTGAACAACAAAAAATGAAATATTTTAACATTTGATAAAAACAAAAAACTCAACACAAGTTGTTGGGGTAAAAAAACAAAAGTTACTTTTCCTAATGCATTACGCATCAGCATCTGGAAACACGTTTAAATACATAAAGATATCAAACCAATGTGGATGGGTGTTAATACTGTTGAGATTCAGTTGTTGGGCAGAGAATGATTAGGAATTTTTAAATCTACAAATATCTACAACCCTTTTCATTATCTTTACACATTTTCACACATGCACATATATTATATAGCAGGTAGTTTCTTGAGATCGTATTTTGTGCACAATCACTCAATACACAATCACTCTCAATACTCAAGATTCAGGAAACATCCTAGTGCTTACACAGCAGGAAAATAAAAAGCTTACTCTGCTTGGTTGGTGAGGAAATTTCTCTTTGATTTGCTTTGATGGCAATAACATGCCTTGTGGGGGTTCTTTAACTTCAACCTGCCTTCGTTGTGTGCCCCCTGAAACAGAAAAGGTATAGAGAAGATTCATTAATTTCAAACACTCTTTTCTTTGAAAACGTAGGTGAACATGTTAACTTCCAAACGATATCTTTTTTTCAGACTAAACGTGCAACACTTAGATTTCAAAGAAGTATTTGTTTCACTTTAACTATGTTAACAAGTCCTTTAATAAATCTCTGTGGAACAATTATAATACCAAACTTGCTCATAATTTTACATTTCACACAAAACAATAATGCAGAGATAAAACTTCTACTTTTTTGCATATAATTACAAAGGCATTGTTTTCATAATTAACATACATAATTAAGTTTTGTAAGTGTAAAATACTTCTATGCTACTGACCAACATCAAAACCATCAATAGCCACTTGCAGTTGATACCAGCCGACAGACCCAGGAGTCCAATTAGCCGTGTAAGTTCCATCACTGTTGGCCCTGACCAGCATGTTTTCAATCAGTCTTTTTTTGGTCGGTGACACATATCGGAGTTCCTCAAAGGAGTAATTTTCATAAGCCTAAACATTTAACAGAAGCGACAGTCTTTGTAGTCATGTAATACAGTCATAAACAAGAACAAATAAAATTAAAATTCTAACACACAAAAAATGTGAACATTTTGTAACATTGCTTGTTAATGAATGAACAGAAATAAAATACTACTGAAATATGTTTTAAATCAAAATATAACTTCTTCCTCATTTACATTAAATTTCTTTTTTATATGAATATATATATTTGAAATGTTTTATATTCATTTTTTGTAACAATAAACTAATTTCCTACTTTCCAACAGTTTTTTTTAAAAACATCCCACAAATTCTAATAAACATGTGAAATTTTTCTAAGCTAAATTCTAAAACAGTTCTAAAAACCATTGCACAATATAAGTAAAAGAACCTGTATTCAGAAAAACAAGCAAAAAGAGTACAACATATTCATTGTATTCTAAAGTCCATGCTTATTTGTAGATGATAATGTGACTTTCTGTACGAGTCCTTAAACCTAGGATTTAGGCTATATCCAGTATCAGTATATCAATATTAGAGTGACTAACCTTCATAAGGGTTATAGAATAGTAGAACATCTTTTCCTTTACAGTAATCTCATATGGTACTTCCAGATTAGGAGGAGGGTGACCTCCAAAAGTAAGTGTACCAGTCTCTGGTTTACTAACTCTAGGTAGCTTCCTATTTGTGTCCATGGTATTCCCATCTTTTTCACAAGGATTCATAGGCACTGCTTTCACCTCAACCTATTCATGAAACAGTAATCAATTAGACTGACTATTTCATCTATAATATAAAGTAAGCTGTAAGTAAACTATAGAGACAAAGGGACAAGGTGATGAATATGTTAAATTACAGAAATATACACTGTCTCAACTGCAGATGTTAGTTAAGTACCATTAAATTCTAGTTTTAAAACATTAATGTGTTTAATAATTATGATTTTATCTTTTGAGAGCACACAAAATAAATATTTCAAAACCTTTAGATTAGGAACATGGACAATTTTTCCATACTGGTCACGAGCCACAACTGTGATAACAGCTGGCCAGCCACACTTTACTTCCTCCTGACTACACAAAAGGTCACACTGCTTGGGGTCAACAAAGGACTCAGGTTGAAGCCATCTGAATAGTGATAAGACATTAAACAAAACATAAACAACACATATTTACCAAGAACTTGAAAGAAAATTTTAAAGTTGTTATGTTTATTAATTAGTTTTGATATTTAACAAAAAACAGGTAAAACAAAGATTCAACAGACGTTATGTGGACAACACTTTCATCATCTAGCCCCATGGCCACAAAAACTTACCAGCCTTCCTAGAACATCTTAATTCTATAGACAAAAGAATCCACTTCACCATGGAAATAGAAGAACAAAACAGACTATCATTTTTTGACATACTCATCAGCAGACAAGAGAAAAAAATCACCACCAACTGTACACAGAAAAACCCACCCACACAAACAGATACCTACACTTTCAGTACTACCATCCAACCTCAATAAAATGTGGTATAATCCAATGCGTAAACAAGAGAGCTGAGAACACTTGTGATAAGATATCCATCAAAACAGAATGCCAAAAGTAGAGTGCTTTATATAGAAATGTTACACCTCCTCCTCCTTCATCAAAAACTCCCTGAAGAAGACCACAACAGAAAGAAAAAATAAGAAAAACACTACCACTAATACCATTTACCTCCCCTACTTGCAAAATTTCAATGAAAAACTCAAACACATAACCAAGAAATTCAACATAGATGACTGATGGAAATCCTACAAGACATTAAGATTTATTCTGGTGAAAACAACTAGATACCCATCAATAAGAAACACAAAAATGTCATTTATGAAATTCTGTGTTCCTGCAACAAAACATACAATGGAGAAAGGGGAAGAAGAGTTGTGACAAGAATAAAAGAACATAAAGACTGTACAAGACCCATGAAAACACAAAATTCAGCCATTGCAGAACACACCATGTCAAGTGGACACACACAAAAAATTGGAAAAAAACTAGAATCATCAACACAGACAAATTTTGGAAGACAAGAAAAATTAAAGAATCCTTTTACATTAATACAATAAACCTTCAATAAACAGAGATTCCAGATTAGAGGCAAGTAACCTGCAGCTATCATTGGATAAACCAACCAATCATAACATGCTCTCCACATTTCAACAGAATACTATAAAGACTGACACCACTATACACTCACTGACCTGAAGATGAAAAGCAGAAGACTTTTGAAACATTGTCCCCTACACTTGTGTTTCTACAACAGGCAGTTGTCATCCATTCAACTAAATTTCATCACATTATTTGTTTAATTAATCTTTGGACATTACAGAATTTACACATTCTACCATATCAGAGACCTAAAATGTTTTCATACAAACAGTAGAAGTTCTAAAATGAGGGAAAAAATGCATATAAAATATACAGAGGGGAAGAAATAAGTAAATTTTACATAGCTTAAGAACACAATTTAATATAATGAATATATCAAACAAGAAGTTTGAATATTTGTTTCAGATACATAGACTTTCATTGACCAAAAGCTCATAGTCTGATGATCCTGGTGCTAGAATTTTGAAGTTATATGTAGATAAAGGGTGTTTATTAATTTGTGTGTGTGTGTGTGTGAATGGGGGAAGCACATGGACTTAAGAATTGGTTGTCAGTTCTGGCTGAAACTCGTATATATTCATTGGCATGTATTTTTAATTGGCATTTTGTCTTTCTAATATAAGTGGCTTTATAGTCACCACAAGTGTATTTATAAGAGTAGGTAGAATTCTTTAGTTTTAAAGAAGTGGAAAATTCAAAAAGATCATCTGAAAATGAACTGTGCTATTTTGTTTGTAACAAACTTAAGTATTATTCTTTCAAAAACTAATGGATAACATTTACTTTTCAAGGTGTTTTGTAAAAATTCATGAATTTCAGACTGAATCAAGTCTTTGTAAAGTTTACTTATTTCTTACCCTTTGGATATTTTGTATACATTTTTTTCTCCATATTAAAATGCACTGTTTGTTGTTGTTCAATGAAAATCTTTACTTACTAGAGAAATAAAACAATAACATAGTATACAGAGATACCAATTTTAATAAGTCTAAAATAAAACATATTTTTGCAACTTTATCAAATCTTTAGGTCCTTTAATTAAAATTAACTTAGAAAAAACAACACGTTCTAAAATAGGAAATTTAAAACATAATAACTCTTTAGTTTAGCCGAGTCTTTACGACCCATCCTACATTAAGTGTGTTCTCGTTTGAACTGTCAATAAAGAATACCATACAAGAGACTGGACCCAGACAACCAACTGGCTCATAAACTCATAAAACTGGTCCTCTTTGTCAATTACCTTATAAATTATTATTAAGAGAATTGAATCTACATAAACAAAACCTTACAGCCAAGTTATTTATGTCATACTTTAAAACCAGATTTTTTACCTTTTTACTATTTTTAAAACCTATATTTAACACACTTTCTTCTTTCAAAATTCTTATTGCAGGTAATGTACATACAAATGGACACTGAGTCAGAGCCAGTGAAGAGATAACACAGAATTAACATACTGGAATAATGTTTCTTTACCAAACAACATCTACTCTATACAATAAGAAAATGTCCTTTTTTTATTTATAAATATATTTAATAAAAACTATCCAATAGGTTGAGTAACTGAAAGTTGGGACATACCAATGGCATATTGGCAGGATTTAGAATGCATGTTTATCATAGGACTCCTTGTATTTTGTGTAACAGATGTCAATGACATGTATTTCAGATTTTAGCTTGTTATTCTAAGATTCCTGTGCATTCATATTAATAAGTTATTTTTTTCCCATTCTACAATAGCTAATATTCTGTGTCATACTAAAATAAAACACAAAGATGACATAAGAATGGTATGGCATTCACCTTGCAAGACGTCCTCCACTGGTTCCTGGAGTACAAGCAACAAAGTCTTTCAAGAAGAGACGCTCATTTGACTGACTACTGAAAGGAAGTACTCCTTCTAGGGCTTGATGGATAGTGGGAGGATGGGCAAGGATAAATCCTTTGGACAGCAAAGAAGAGTGGGAGCTGTACACCTACCAAAAAATTAAACAACATTGGATTCAGTATCACAGCATAAAATATTGTACGTACCTTTTTTACAGCTCTCCTTAGATGAACACATTTAGCAAAACTACTTAAAAGAAAATTTTAAGTATTAAAACTATGTATGTATGTATGTATGTATGTATGTATGTATGTGTGTGTGTGTGTGTGTGTGTGTGTGTGTGTGTCTATACTATTAAGTAGTTAGTTATATTTAAGTTAGTAACTAACTCTAACTTTAACGTTTAGTTTTAAGTTTTTACGTTTTTAGTATAGTAATAAAACT